TAAGGTATATAAATGGCCACCTTTTCTATTGGATTGTTAACTGCAAAGATTGTTCTTTCCTTTTCCTTCTTGATTTGAGCTTTGGTTCATTGCTTTCCAGGATGGTTGGAATTCTCTTCATAAAGCAATTCTTGGTAAAAATCAGGCCATCACGAACTATCTTTTAAGAGAATCAGCTAATCCATTTATTTGTGATAAAGTGAGTAGATTACCTAGTGAATCTCCCAATCCAGTTTGGTTTTAGTGTGACTATTATTGTTCTAACTAAATGTTTATGTTGAAAACAGGATGGCGCCACCTTGATGCATTATGCTGTCCGAACAGCTTCCAGTCAAGCAATTAAAATTCTTCTGTTATATAATGTTGATATAAACCTTCAGGACAATGTATGGATTATAATTTCCCATGCTTGCTTACACTTTGGTATGCAATATAAAGAAACAATTATTCAAAAAGTTTTACTTTGACTTTATAGGATGGATGGACACCATTACATCTAGCTGTTCAAGGCCGAAGAACAGATGTGGTGAGGCTTTTATTGATTAAAGGATCGGATAAGACATTGAAGAATAAGGTAACTTTTGAATGATTCCTTTAGCTTGTGTTTGTAGTGCATAAGTTTTCTGCATTCTGCACATGCTTGGTTGGATGCATGAAAGAAAATATGAGCGATTGCTTCTTGAACTGTCCTTCATATGATTTCTGCTCTCACGATGCTTTAGTTCTTATTGCCTTGACGTGCAACCGTAAGAATGATAGTTGATTGTAATGTAAGTCATCTATTGGTTGCAGGATGGTTTAACCCCTCTTGACCTTTGCCTTTATTCTGGTCAAGAAACAAGGACTTATGAGCTAATTAAGCTGTTGAAGCTTCTTCCCAAGCCACGCTAATCGGTCAATATTCGAACCACAAATCTACCTGATCAGTGTTTCGACTGCCCAAATGATCTGATGACAAGCCATAACTTTTACATAAAAGTTTCAGCATTTCAGATGATCATCCATCAGTCCAACTTACCCGTCACAAGAGCCAAGTGCCAACCACAATATCAACCAGAGAAGGCCTGTAATTTTGTAATTGTTTGTAATTAAAAAATCATTGAAAATGAATTGTAGAATGCAAATATTCTTTTTCCTTAAACGAGAAAATCTCATTAATACTTTGGGCCAGTTCATGTTATGCTTGAGTCTGCATCAGCATGGCACATGCTCAACACAATCAAATGGAGCTTGACACGTACAGGCACGACATCTATGCATGAAGCAGAGTGTGCTAGATCGTGGTGAAAGAGAGTATCCTCTTTGTATTTTTTGGGTCAGCGAGTATCCTAAACTCTACGTCCTAACATTATGCCATGTGTCGTAACATTATCTCGTAATATTATGTAATACCTAGTGTTATGCCATGCGTCATAACGATATGTCATAACATTATGTCATATGTAAATTCATTTTTAAAATCGCAACATCATATTGGATGGGAGATTAGAAGATAGGACTCGTTCAAACACTTGAATTTTAAACTTGTTATATGCAATTGTTTTTTAATTGAACATCGGTTTCTATATTTTGAGCTACAAATCCCTTACTCGCAATCATTTCTATTTTATTCGATCTCGAAAGGGAGTGGGTAGGTCGGAACAAAATTATAAAAATTAATTATGAGTCCATCTAATTTAATGACATTGACATACAATTAACTGGGGAGACAAGAACAGCATGGGCACATCTTTGTCAAAATTCCCCTTGATAAAAGCGAACCGAAGTTGAGCCAGCAAATGAAAAGAAGAAAGCGCCATATTGTTGAAATCGAAAGAAACTCAACCAGCTCTCTATTTTATCTGTTTCTTCAGCTCTCTCTCTCTCTCTCTCTCTCTCTCTCTCTCCCTGTACATTGATATTTCTTCTTCTTCTTCTATAATGATCGGAGCTCAATTTCATGTGACGGATCGCTCAGCTGCCATCCGTTCGATCCCAAGCACTTGGCCTGCTGCTAGTTCTGCTTCTTCCTCCTCGCTCCACTTGGTCTTCACGGTTCGATTAGGTTTCAGAACGACAAAACGGTGTCGTGGCCTCAAATCGATCGGCATTACCTGCAACAACTCTTCCTCTCGTTCCAGATCCAGCAATGCCGATCCCCACGATTACGATTATCTCCAAGCTTCTCTCCTCCTCTCAGGTCCCAACTCTCTTTGCACCACCTATGATCACATACATATATTTATAAATATACGTGTACGTATATTTCTATGTATCTATAATAACTTTTTGAATTGATTTTGATTTGATTCTGTTAAATTCTTACTATTTCGTCCAAAGATGAAGTCTTTACCTATTCGTCCATATATTCTGTTGATTTTTATTGTTTTTAATTTGTTGGTTTCGAATGTTGCAGTGTAAAGTGAAGTAATTTGTTGCTAATTCAGTGATGGGGTGTGATGATCATCTTTTGAAGTTGTTGACTGTGTTAAATTAGTGCAGAAACTATATCTCACTACCGTATGCAAAAGCGAGGGTTTAAAGAAGAGACGAAATGGCAGTCCTCTGGTAAATTGCGTCCCTTTTCAGCTCAAGCAAACCGATCTCGAAACCTCTTTGATACCTTAGGCCGAAATTTTCTCCAGCGTTTCCAAAATCCCACGATTTTTCTCAAGATTTCTTGTGATGGAGACTTTTTGCTTCCAATTGTTGTAGGTATATAAAATTATGTACAGGAATATAAGTGTAATTTGAAGTGTCACACCCTCTGGTCACTAATTGTAACTTATCTGATTTTTGTTTTTCAGGTGAATTTGCCATAGAAAATCTCATAGATGCCCAATGGGGAGATGAGAATGGGGTAACTGTTTGAGTTTTTGTAATTAAATCGGTTGCTTTCTTATGTGAATGTACATTGACCCCCAAAACTGGTTATTCTGCAGGAATCCCCTGATCAATTCCAGTTTGTGAGTAATCTCGTCGACAAACTTGGTTATCAAGTATGTAGTTAATTTTTTTTCCATGTATTAATTACTTTCTGAATGGCCGAAGGCTTTTATCATTTGTCCTTTTCCTGCTTTAGCTACTCGGTTTATGTTTATTGCATGTCTATAAGGAAACCTAATGATACTAACAACTAGATTTTAGAAAAAGTGAGTGGTGAGAAGGGAATGTATGTAAGTTTTTTGTCTTAAGAGGACATTCAGTTTTTTGTCCAAGTTGATAGTGGGGTGTAAAACCATTCAGGTCATTCTCTTATTTTGTTGCAACCTCTTCAATTCCAGGTGAATATGGTGAGAATTACAGAAAGAGTGATGAATACTTACTTTGCCGGATTGTGTTTTAGCAAGGTGGTAAACCCTTGTGAGTTATGAACTAATATTTTAAGAAAGTGAAGCAACCTAATGACATCAAGGTTCCTATTATCTGCAGCCAGGGGAAAACGAGGTTTTTAATGTGGATGCACGTCCGTCAGATGCCATAAATGTTGCACATAGAAGCAAGGTATATGTCTTTCTTGCATTCATCAATACAAATGCTCATAGACTTTGTGTCCATGCGTGTTCCTGCTTCTTCATGGGCATGAAAAAAACTGTTACCTTTCTGTTGAAGTTCGCAAGATCTAAAAATCTATCACATGCACATGACCATTTCTTTTGAAACTACTGCTAACTTTGTGTGACACTTGCCATGTGCAGGTGCCCATATTTGTAAATAAACAGATTGTCTTAACTGATGCTGTAAGAATCAGTTATGGGATGGACCGAGTGCGTGATACAAAGTCTGCTTATGATGTATCTCTTGACAGGTATTGAGTTGTATTTTGTGCACCTCAAGTTTGTTTCATCAGTTAATTTCTGGTTCTAATCATTAGTTAAATTCTTTTCAGTGCTGCAGATGGTCCCGATTTTTTAATTCAAGAACTTGAGTTGGTTAATAATATCAGTTTAGCTATTAAAGAGGAAAGATATAAAGATGCAGGTATTTTATGCACTGCTTTTCTGACATATACAACATTTCTAGGTCACATTACTTCTTCTTTTCTTCATCAATTTGCTTCTGATTGCCTGATGGTTTTACATATATTGGATTATTTATCAATTAACGACTGGATCCTGCAGCCATGTGGAGAGACAAACTAGTCAAGCTTCGCAAGTCAATTCAAGGGCCTTAACCAAATATATAAGGTTAATCCACTTCTAAATAAGTTGATGCTTCTACGCACTGTTGGCATAGCAATTCATTATGGAGATTCTAGTGCAAGGAACACCTTTGTGCATTATTGGATAATGAGAGAACTTTTAAAATATTGAATGTACAGCTACTGTAGAATATTGAATACTGCCCCCAAATATGTATATGTAAAACCATGTACTCAGATGGATTCTTCAAACCATAAGCATGGTCAGCCTTCTTTGGAGATTCGTATCCACGGTTTGTAAATCTCAGCAAAGTGTTGTATGACAAGAAAGAATGAAATTGCGTTCGTTTGAATCTAATTGAAAGAATATCTTGTTCTTTCTAAGATCTTTTGATGCATTATTAGATTTGTGCAATGCTTAATCTACTAGTATTTTGAGCTGACATTTGAAAGCTTTGTGTACTCTTAATCCTTGGCAACTACAGCTACAATAGAGGCTGAACTCGAAATTCGAAATATGTCATCACATTCTTCAAATTTCGACTCTTTCTTTTCTCTTTTTTTATTAATTCATTTTCCCAAATTACAAATTTAGCGTCTTCTTAACTTCCTTACCCAAGGGACAGATGTTTGTTCAACAATTGTCACTCCAGTAACCTAACTACATGCCACAACATGTATTTTTAATGATCCAATGAGTAGCCTTTGTATGCAAAAATGACCAGTAGCTATATTCTTCACCAATATGAACATGTACACTTTACAGACGAGAACAAAAGATGGATTAAAATAGCAGCCAGCAACGAGAGTTGCTGTATGCATTTTTTTTTAACGTCAAAGGTGGAGGCACTACAACTTATTAGAATTTCCACTACAAACTTCAATTCAGCCGTCTGCACATGGAAGGAATCGTTGGAGGCATCTGCCATCTGATCGGCATCTTCTCACCGTCTCCCCACAGAGCATAGGCTTCTTCTCCATGCGCGGCATCATCACCAATGTCAAGGTCCTCTTCCTTCATCCTAAGATCAACGATACGGCTGATCAAAATGCAAATCAAGCTTGTGACAACGACGTTCCATACGATAATGAAAACTGCTCCAATGATCTGGTGCCCCATTTGTATGAGGCCATCTTTTGGTTTCCTATCAAGGATGCTGTACATTAAGCCTGGACCGTAATGGTTAGTCGGGTACATCATTCTCAGAAGGTTGGCTCGAGCAAAGAAGCCTGAGAGGAGACCCCCCAACAGGCCGGCGACGGCATGGGTGTGAAAGGCCCCCAATGTGTCATCAACACTTTGGAAGAGGGCTGATCTTCTGTGCAATACCATCATGGTGTACCAAGGTATGGAACCAGACATTGCTCCCATTATTATTGCTGCCCATGGCTCCACAATCCCTGCGCAGGTAGATATTATTATGTGGGATGCTGCAAAATTGCTTCTTCTTACTTTCTTAAATCAAAACTCAGTTCATAAACATTCATAACCATCATGTTTTTGTCTGGTTGTTTCACTTCATTTCATAGAAAGTGACAAGCAGCTACCAAAAAACATGTTCTTGAAAGATATTTTTTACGGCCTTATGAAAGCAATGTTTATGCTAAGTTTCTTGCCATATATAATTAATAAATATATATATGTTACATTATCAACCTATTTGACACTACACTTCAAAACAAAATGAATGAGAGATAGTCTGATAACATAACATGTCATACTTTTGAGCAAGAGAACGTCTTCGTTCATTATGTCAATTGAGCAAGGACTAGTTTACCTGCACCAGGTGTGATGCAGACGAGGCCAGTGATCATTCCCTGGACCGCGCCGATCACGGAGCTTTTCTTGTACACTACCATATCAAGGGAAACCCATACCAAGAGGCTAGTGGCAGTGCATATATGGGTGTTGATAATGGCCAAAGATGCAATCAAGTTTGCTGCAAATGGAGAGCCACCATTGAACCCTGTCCATCCAAGCCACAAAAACCCTGCACCTCCCAACATGTGAATTATGTTGTTTGGAGGGAAATGTTGCCTGTCATGTGATTGCCTTGGTCCTACCTATATGATAGCAACATTCAATACTAAACCACCGCCAAAAAACAAAACAAAAACGAAGAAACAATTATTATACATAGAAGGGTTTCGGGTGTCCATATCAATTACCCAATAAGCAGCAGTAAAACCAGCCACACCAGATGACAGATGAATCACATATCCACCAGCATAATCAATGATGTACTTCTCAAGAAACCCTTTTCCCCAAATACTGAAAGCACCAACTGTGTAAGACAAGGTGAGCCACATTGGCACAAACAACATCCAAGCATAGAAGTTCATCCTCCCAAGCAAGGAGCCCCCAAGCAATATCACAGTAATGGCAGCAAAGACAAATTCATAGTAGACATAATCAGCCATTGGAACATGAAAACCTCCATACTCACGGAGGAGAAACCTTTGGGTCAGAGCAAAAGCAGGCTTGCCCAATATTGGGCAAAATCTGGTACCAAATGACATGTTGTGAGCCCAAAGAACCCAACAGATGAGGACTGCAGCAAAGGCATATAGGGCCATGAAAGCTGAGTTTACAGCCCATTTCTTCTTCACCATGCTTCCATAGAGTATGACAAGGCCAGGAACACTCTGCATGCCTACCATGGTGGTTGCTATTAGCTGCCATCCATTGTCTCCTTTGTTGTTCCATCGTGGTGATGCTTCGTCTGGCAGGAGATTCAGCGGGAGAACTCCAGAGTAATCGCTATTATTCATCGAAAGTGGTATAGAGGAGGAGAGAAACTTTGGTGAAATTTTGGAATAGCTTAGCAGGAACAGCAAATATATAACAAAGTTATGAGTTGGTATTGCACTTTGTAATAATCTACAAGTCTGGTTTCTTGTAGAAAAGTATATACTTAACACTCATTGCTGGCTGATGTTACAGATTCAATTTGAAATTCTTAAAGCAGTAAGCAGGGGTACCATAATTTGGGTGCACTTAATCTAGTTTTGCTTGGCCTCTGTCATTTCAGTTGTTGCACTAACATTCTGAAAGCAACTTTTATTACAAAACCTCAAAATTTTGATACTGTTTGTCTCCACAGTCCACATTAGCTAGAAGAGTTCCATCAAATGGCTCCAAGAAGAGGCATAATTTAGATGTTCTCATGGGTTTGAATATGGCAGCTATTGCTTGGTGAAAATGTAAGAATTTTTTTGGGTGCAAATTGATGGGATTTATTTTAAATTACACCTTTGAATATTCATTTTTGTTTCCCTTTTATCTCTTTGTGAGTGATTTCATTAGCTGGGACTGGGAGCGTGGAAAGCTATGGCCCATGGTATATTCTGCTTGGCCTCACCTTGATAAAGAATCACAACTTGCAAATTGTTTAGGAACAAATAAATAAAATACATCTTGTATGCGTTTGCTCTAGCTTTGAACATATTGTTCCTTCCTCAAATTGGCTATAATGAACCGAGAGGCTTACACACACAACAAAAACTCTCACTTCTCCATATTGACACAAGAATCAATATAAAAAAAAAGTCTCTCAATTCTCCACACGAAACTTGTTGCTTTATAATTTATATGAATGGCTTAATCATGCAATACTTCTAATTTTTATTAAAAATATTAATAAATAAAAAGAAAAACATCTTTCCAGCCATGAATTTCATGAACTGGGGAAGATTTAGACCACCAAATGAGATCCAAATTCTTCCTGACACTTGCAAACCTCCATTGATTTATACATGAAAATAAAAAACCAATAGAGAGAAAAAAAAAAAAAAAAGAGGAGGAAGAAGAAGAAGAATTAATGAAGGTTTCATTAATACTTGCCATATTTGTGCCAGCAAAGAAGCATCACCACACACCTCCTAGCAATATAGAACCGGGACCTTTTCTCTCTGATCATGCTCCAACATCCTTGCCTCACTGCACACCCACCTCCACCTCCACCTCCAGATGAACTTGAAGAAGAAGAACCACCCAACCCTTTACGCCTCACTTGCTTTGATGTGCATTGACCCATAATCTGTCACCAAACCCTCCAAGCTACTTTGAAAAGAAAAAAAAAAACCAAAACAGAATGATATATGGTACAAAGAATTGATCTAATAAACCACAACCCAAAACAGAGCAAACCCAACAAAGATTTCTCATAAATTTTTACAGCTTAAACCTCAATTTGTTGCTCTGCTTAAGGAAAAAACTTTGAGATTTATGGTACAAAAGAAGTAAGCTAATACACAACCAATCTAAACAGAGAAAACCCAACAAAGCTTTGCCATATCTTTGCTGCTCAGCCCACATCAGCCAGGGTTATAAAAACCCATAAGAAAACGACTTCATGATGTTCTTCATGTCAACCACTTCTCTCTCTCTCTCTCTCTGACTCTGTTTTTGTCTTCTCTGTGTTTTTGTTTCCATGAATATTATAAATTGACAAATTAATTGCCAAAAAGCAAAGGGTTTTAGTTTTATTTTATAATTCTGTTGTTGTTACGTTTCCTCGCACAAGACGATCCATCCGACGGCTTGCGGTTTTGTCGTCCACGTTTCCTGTTATGATTGGCTCATTACTCAACCGCTGTGTTAAGCCAAAAGGTTTGATTGTTATATTGGTTATGGACTTTTCACTCGAATAATAATATTTCCTTTTAATTTTCAGCTGGAATTAACAATTCCTAGACAATTATGAGTTGCAGCAACCCAGTTGGTTTTGAGAAGGTAATTTACTGGGTGGAACAGCCTTCGTTTAGTTGGATAAAAATAAAAGGTAATTTACATTAACTACTTCACGGTTAATCTAAAACAATAATATCAAAATTTACAAAACAAAAAAGAATTAATTAGGAAAATAAATTATAAATGAATGTTTAGGTTTTCCTTCTTGCATTTAGAGAATTATTTGAAGAAAGGGAAGAAAAATTATAATAGAGAATCACGCGTAAGTTCTTTTGACTTGAGATTGTGAGTATGTCCTAGAGCTGGTGGTGAGAGTAGTTAATTTCACCTAATTTTTTCTGAATAAAAAGAACAAGAGTGGGGCCATCCCACCATGGATGATGGATGGTGCATAACAGCTTGTGTCGTTCATATTTTGTGGTTTAATCAATAAAATATAATGCTATTGAAAACCATAATTGAGATTTATGAGATTTATGTTGTTAATAATAGGGCACTTTATCAAATAATTCCTACCAAATTCGAGTCTAGTAAGGGACTTTTGTTCCAATAAAATAAGTTAATTGACTTTTGTTTATTTGGGTCATGCACTGTGTTTTCTTCCAAGCCACATATGCTCTTCACATTTCGATTGTCAAGGGCACGGCAATAATCCCCACTAGAAGAAACAGAAAAATATAAATTAGCAAATAACTTCAAAGTTCAACAAACCCAATGGGACAAGTAACAACTAACATGACATGATCACCCTAAGGACCGACACCATCGTCTCCACCTTGTAGGACTACGTTTGGCATCCAGGAGTTGCAAACCGATCATAAAACTCTTTACTTTTCTCACAAATATAAAAGTTCTATGTATAATTCGTCTTCTTAAGCATTTAGGAGTTGCAGACCGATCATAAAACCTATTATCTTTCTCATAAATATGAAAGTTCTACGTATAATTTGTCTATCATAAGGATTATCATATATAACACAAAATTTCTCTATCAATTCATTCAATTTAAACTTTTCGGTCTCTCATTCTACCTCGAGAACTAGAATAAATTACAACCCTCACTCCGCCTAAAATTTGAATCATTGTTCTTATTATGTATTTATTATGTATTGTGAGTGCGACGTGGTGCCTACGCCCAAACCATATATCATGACATATATATCTAACTAAAATTATGAATTCCTTTCTTGTCTTTCATGGGACGATCTCATAGGCCAACTTTGCCGCGTCCATCGCTTTCACTCGTTTTCAAAGTTCCATCTCAGCGTACAAAAAGGTAGCGACTATTTTTTTTTGGAGTAAATGATTTATTATACTTGAACAATTCCAGTTTCCATCCACAATTTATAATATTCTGACCTAATTGTGTTGATCCTACAAGAAAATCAACAATGTCATCGCATATGTAGGCAGGTCAATAAGAAACAGAAACGTCATCGATCAATATATTTCTTTATTTGTTGCTCTCACCTGTCCAATGTTAGATTATATGCTAATTTTTATTCTCTTTAACGCAAAGCATCAAAATGAAAATTAAGTACTGTCCAAAAAATTTATTAAAGATTCAAAATTTTACTTTTTTTTTTTTTTACATTGGTAGGAAAGAAATTTTGGGATTTCGATTCTGAGTGCCAAATAAGACAAAAGGGAAAAAGCCACAACCACGTGGTACCTCACTCTATAAAAATTCAATATTTGAGAGCTAACATAATAACATTGCAAATGAGGGGTTTTATTCATCATCCATATATAGTATATACCGCAAAGTGTTAACTCAATTTTAATTCTCTATTGAAAAATAACTCTATGCTTGAATTAAAATTAAAATAGGAAATGTGAGCAAAGCAAGCAGGTAGAACCCAAAATGGAATATGCTTTAAAAAAGCAGAGTAGGATGAGTACTTGTTCTTTTAAGGCTGCCCCATGAGAAATTAAATTACAAACCACCAAAACAATAGTTGATGATAGTACAATAGTATTAATTATAAAGCTATTTATTCATCAAGAATATTGAGCTGAGTTAGACTAACTAATCATTTACTTTTGCTATAGTGTGTGTTGGAGCTTGGAAGGATCAGTTTTTTTATCAAGACATTTTACTTTGTCTCTAACATTTTCAACTTGACAACTTCAAGGGTAACCAATTCAAAACAAACTAGTTATAATCCAATACAAAACCTATTACAAAAACTAAGCTTTCATATTTTATTGCTGCCAAATAAACTTATAAGATTTAGATAATCATCACTAAGCATATGGAGTTTATGGATTCTCAAAGACTAGTTCTAACTGATTAGTCGTGACTAGGCTGTCCTGTCACGATTATAATTTGAGTAGATCTCTAATATCACATTGGTATACCTCGAGGTGTTATCATACACAAACCAGCTTTTAAAGTTCCATATAAGGAACGAGTGAATGAAAATTCCAAATTTGTCTTTCTAAAACAGAAGAAAAATATAATGTAATAAAATAAAATATTTTAAAAAAATCACATTATTTATTTATATTTTTGCCAGAAACTAGGGGTGGGCATCTTAAACCGAAATACCGAAATCGTACCCTAACCGCACCGTACCATACTGATTTCATACTGTTTCATTTGGTATGAGGAGATATTCGGTACCGTACTATACCATACCAATAGAATATGGTATGATAGAGGTATCAAGATTTTAGTACCGGTACCGTATCGAATAGTATAACTTTATGTTTTTATCATTTATGTTTGAATTGTGTTTGTATTTTTGTAAGCCATAAGGCATAATTTTAACTATTTTGGTTTGTAAGTCATAAAACATGAGTTTTAACCATTTAGGTTTGATGAATTTGTTGATGGATAAATATTGATTTGGTTGATTTGGATATTGAATATGTTGATTAGGATTTGGATATTGAATATGTTGATTATGATTTGGATATTGAATATGTTGAATCTTTGAATTTGTAATTTAGGCATCACTTATTTTGATGTTGAATATTGAATTGGTTCCTTTTTTAGTTGTATCATTTTGGTACCGAAATGATACCGATGCCGTACCGATACCGATTTGGTACGGTACTTTACCAGTTTTGGCAA